AGACTCGGATGGAAGGCGCTTGACGTGTGGCTATGGCCTCTGATTGGTCAATAAAGCCTGTTCTGTTGTACCGGTATTTTACCTATTAGGGCTCGGGTATTCTACAGTAGCAACGTTTAAGGACGCAGACATATTGGACTACACCGGCCTCTGCCAATCCTCTGTTTCCTTACGTCCTCTTGTACTAGACTTCTTCATACTAGGTCCTGCGTATTCCAAAATCGAATCGTTGATCAGCATCGGCAGAGGTTGAGCCAATTGCGTCTTCGGGTCATAGTTACGAGTAAGTGTTATCAATAAAAGAGCCACGCGGCTTGGACAACACCACTAGCTGCAGTAATTTTCCACTAGCCAATGAAGGCGAGTAAGATCCCGCATTTTCTTAGCAGAACGCGATTTCCTTGGAGTGTGTCAAATATTGCACCCCTTTTTATTTCCGAGGATTTATTGGTTTTCTTCGACTTACATCATTTCTACACCACATGGAGGCCTAGCGTTTTAATCCCGTTAGAGTATTTAACGTGGTTTGCAGTTATCCATCATGATTTAACCAAGATCGCTAATCCATAGTTCGATTGTTAACAATGCATTTATAATTATCAGCGAAGATTTATTGCAAAAATTATTGATTTTATTGGACTTCAGATATGAATCTCAAATGTGGACAATTAGACTTAATTTCCTCTAATTTATATGGAACTCAAATAATAAGATCTTCAGGGTGTCCATGAGCTTTATTAGAAATTAATCTAACCCTGTGCTGGTTCCATGAAACCAACCCCTGTTGGATCATTCCAGTGTAATTGAATAAATGAACTCATTAACTCTAACAACTTTGTTTAAACCAAACAGACTCGATGGTTATTACCAAGCTAAACTAAACCTCGACTTTCTGAAATGGTTGATGCATAGTAGGCATTTAACCTCGCTGCAACTTCCATTGATGCATGATTTTGGATACAATAATAGCTTTAATTTTGCCATCAACTTTCTGGTCGAGTAGAATTTTCTCAGGCTTCAAGTTAAAAAATTAGTAGAAAAGACATTTAAAACTTTCGTGGTAGTAAACAGTTCAAATAATCCAAATAATATGTCGACAGAGTTGGTGGACGTAAGTCAGCACGATTCACGAAAAAAAGCTTTTATGTGTGCACCCTGAAGAACAATTAAGGAAATAGACTGCGCAAATTTTGTTGCGAACCTCAATGACTTTCCCAGATTTTGTGAAATTTCTTTTAAAACGCGTGTCAATTAAAAAAATTTCACTTGTCAATTACAAATATTGTGTCTTATACAACTAATCCTCCTTTCAGCTTCATCTTATTCTGCTCTTCCAATGATATTGCAAAATTTTTACAGTTCATACTTCAGGTAATGATTCTTTCTAAAAATCCCAAAAGTGAAATTTGAAGTAAAGTTAAGTTTATTGATACTATTTTGAGTTTCAGATAAACTTTAGCCTTTTATATTACATTTTAGCATTTTAAGAACGTGATATATTCAACCTTTCTTACAATGAATTTTGATGGTCCACAATGTTCAAAGTAACCAATCACGGTTTAAAAGGTCATGTTGTGACGAGACCCAATGCCTTTTACACTCTAATTGGTTGACCTAGATTCTTTACCCGACTTGTAAGGATGGCTGGTAATGATCTTGCTGATGCCTACTACAGTATTCCACCTTTCACCAGATACTGGTTTTCGGCCACAATTATTTTTTCACTCATTGGGAAGCTAGGACTTATCAGTGTGTATTCGCTTGTATTATTCTGGAAAGAGTTCTTCTACGATTTTCAGGTTTGGCTTCATTTTGATTTTGACATGTTTAGTTATGGCGTCCAATTACAGCACTTTTCTATTATCCCATAACACCACAAACGGGGTTCCATTTCCTCATCAATTTGTACTTCCTCTACTCATATTCTTCGCGCTTGGAAACAAGTGAGATCTTTATTTCTAATTTACTTTTAGGCACTTTTAGTGGAAGACCCGCAGACTATGTGTTTATGTTGCTTGTGCATTGGATAACACTGACAGTATCCTTTTCGAACTCCTATTATAATTAAAGCACAGTATCGGTATTTCTTTTGATATAAAAGGCTTCCAAAATTCTACCTACCAAAATCGACTCCCTTTTACATTTTTTTGCATTTTATGTGGTTGCTACCTAAGCCTTTCCATAATGCAGCATTATTCATAAAACAGTTATTACAGTGCGCACAGCAAGTACATTTTTCTCCGAAAGTTTTTTTAAGTCTAACCTATAATATCTGTGTTAGCATTCACTGTTACATGTTCCGAGGTTATTGCCGTTACCTCAGATTCTCTGTTTTTCCTTGACAAATGCTTCAGTCTATTGCTTTTCTGCTTGGAATCTACGTGAGTACATTGTGATGCATGTTTGTTATGTAATCTAATTCTATTTCTGATAATCTCGGGGCACTAGTTTCATCTCATTGTCCAAAGCTGCTGAGCCCGAGTTGTCCAGGTTATTACCTTATGCAGCCTTTGTCCTCTTGTTCGAAATGTGTTTTGTGTTCACCTTATCTTATCGCCTTAGTTTGCTCAGCACGTTCCGATATTATGGTGCCCGCAATCTCCCTATTCTTCTCAGAAGTTTTTCAAAAGTGGTTTTCTAACTTCATTTTAATAGTAATATTACTTCTCATTGATGTATAACCTCTTCTACTTTGCCTAGCTTCTCTTCGAGCCGATGGTCCTCAGCGTGATCTACGTGTGGAGTCAACTGAACAAAGACGTTATCGTTCAGTTTTGGTTTGGAACGCAGTTCAAGGCGGTGTACTTTCCTTGGGTCTTGGTGGTTCTTAACCTCATTATCCGTGGCAGGTGATTTTCTTTTCTTTAGAACTTTTATGACGTCATGTGGCTGTGCCACATCCTGACGACCCAATTTCGTGGCTACACTAAGTCACTGAACCACGACCTTGTTTTTAGCAACGAATAGAAGGTAGCCCGCTCATTCAATCCTGTTTAAAGTAATTTGAAAGTGATACACATCTTCATTTATTGCCTGGTTGGTTTTGACAAGGATGGCGGCTTCCTCGTTCAATTACTGCTTTTTTAGACTAGATTTTTCTGCAACCTTTTGGTTCAATGCATTGATCAAAGAAAGTCAACCCCTTACCTACGTATCTGTCTAGCCAAATTATTTCAGAAAATCCGCGTAACTGTTAGAAACCAAACAATTTTTTGGAGTTCGACCTTCGTATTGGCCTCAGCACCAAGATTCATTACCTCACTCAAAACTTTCTTCCTCTTGTGCTTAACAATCAGTTGTATTGTGGGTACGAATCACAATCTTAGAAGATTTAACCTATATGTCTGTATCATGTAGAAATGCTATTCGGAGGCTGGATTTCGGACTGGTCATCTTGTTATTATTGGCCACAACTTCATTGATCCACTGGTGTGTCTAGTTGCACCTTGTACTAATTGGGTTTCCACCTTAGTGACATATCTACCATCTTCCGGTGTGCGTACTAAACTGTTAGGTTACAAGTATCGCGGTAATTTTTTTATATCCAGAGTTGCAATGTCAGAAGGGAGTACGACGGCGTGCCTACGGCCTCCAATATTTTCAAATTATGCCTTATATTTGTTCTGTGGCATTTTGGCGGGAGTATTAATGGTTATTTTGTGATGGTGCTTCGCCTAATCAGAGTTTTTTTAACTTCGCAGCGCAACAATGGAGCTGGTGGGGATATTTGTCGGTCACATCTACTACTTTTTTTCTCATCAATACCCGCTAGAATATGGTGGGCCACAGATTTTAAAGACCCCCGCCTTCTTGTAAGTTTTTTTTAGCTGGTTTTACTGTATTTGGTTCTCGTCAAGACTTGCACTGACCATTTTGCAATTAGTTTATTATTGCTACTCATATTCTACTAGTACTAATATTTTCACTGGATGGTACTTCAGAGTACGTCGGTGAATGGATAGTTGTACTCACCTCACTGCATCAAATGAAGTCACGTTCTCTTGGTAGAATCATTGCTCCATCTTCAAACACAAAGGTCTCTGTTTTAGTAGTAGGCTTTACTCGTTTTGTAACTGGTCGAAATTACCCACCTATGACTTGGCGGCAGAGCCTTTGCATTGTAACTAAAAAGAAGACAAGTGCAGGTGGCGATATCTCATTTTGGTTGAATTAGTGTTTTGGATTAAAAGTAGCTTAACAAGAAGTCGACGGTAGTCCGCTTATGTCCCTTCGTTGTTGCATATGGTTTGGACGCCAAGCGCCTCCTGTGTGTAAACTTTTCAATACTCAGCGATCAGCAACTTGTTTTCTAGTTTTTCGGCTTCTTTTTGGCTAACAGGTACCGCATGTTCCCTGGTGAACGCAATTTCGTCTCGGGATTCGGTGTTCCTCCTCGTCGAATGGGATCCCACGACGACAACGTCAGTCGGGGTTTCCCCGGTCGCGGACGCACCCTCAACGACTGATCTCCCCTTCCCCCCCACTCAACCCCTATGACTTCACGCGCTCCCCTCGTCCAATTAGCACGATAGCCTAATTCTGTCAACCCTGTTCTTAACTTGGGTGGTATTCAAAATTGTGCCGATTGCACAGTGGCATTTAAAAGTGCCTGGATTCATGCTTCACGGTGTAGTTTATGTGGCTTCTCTTTTTCTGAGAGCTTTTCCTTACGCCTGCAGAGTAACTGGAAGACTTGTGTGAGTGAGACACTCGCTCCGATGCAGGATTGGGAGGCAGGGGGTGGGGGGGGACGCGTCCGTTCGTCACCTCGTTAGGCTTGTGCGTTTTGGGGCAGAGGTGCGAGCGTAGCGTTAGGGGGAAGAGAAAGCCAAGCTCTCAAGCAGACATTTATAGTTAAGGGTGCGGGTGTGAGTTAAGGTTGGCGTGTGCGTGCATGGTAAGTCAGGGCGGCCAAAGCTGACAGACAGGCAACTAGAGAGCTAATCATGGGTTTAGACGTTTTGTTGGGTGTTCCGGTCTTTGTGCGTGTCCTGTCGTGGCGCGTGCAGAATCGTTGACGCCTACAGGTCGCGGGTATACACGCAGGCGGGTCTGTAGCGGATTAGCGGCGATCGCGCCTGCATGAACCCCGATTACTGACCTCATGGTGACAATGACTCATCCCCTTTTCATTGGTTACTGTTATCAGACGCCCGTCATCCACACACATCCACACTTGGCTGGAGTGGCGCCGATGAACGGTCGCCCATCTTCACCCCATTCTGGGGTTGTTGCGGGCTGTTAACTAGAGGGTTGTAAGGTAGTGCTTAGACCACAAGCCACTAAAAGTCATAGGTGGTAGAGTTTGTAAACCAATGGGGTTCGGGTAAACCGGCGAGTGTGCAGTCATGCGGATGATACAATGAGCGGTCAGAGTGGCAAGGAGGTGCGTAAGGAGTCTGGGAACTGCTCCTTCGAGGAAACAGTTGAGAGAACTTGTTAAGTGGCAGTCGTCAAGATATCAGCAATGCTTGCTTTTGGTGAGAAACGCCCGTTTGTTTTCAGCCAGTATAATAGACAATGCCGTTATGGAGAAGGCAAACGCCTTATTGTAATGCCAATCATTTTAAGGTCACGTTTAGCTTTTTGGCTTAATGGTTGCAAACTTCCTGGACTTCAAGTTCAAGGTAATTTATCTCCTATTCCCTTACTCATAAACAGAGCTGTTCACTTAATTCGACAACTTTTTGACTCAAAGTAACGTTTGGTCTGAGACTTAACTAGTGGTTTTCAACCTTGAGCCCAATTCTTAAAAAGGTTCCACATTTTTTTTAAATTGAGTGACCCTTTTCAGACTATGGAGCACGTGTCAGTAATGCTCAAAAGAAACCATGAGGCATAGATTCCCACCCACCATTGTGCTTCCAAGCCTGCCGCAGTTGCTTGTGAGGCAGGCAAGTTCAATAACTCTGCTGTTTTGGCAGCGAATTTTTGTGTATACAGGCGGACGACGTGTAACCTGCGTAAATGATTTAAGTAGCACGTCTGCAGGCCAAAATTCATGTACATTAGCACTAAACAGGTGTTGAGGAGCACGAGGTAATGGGCGATTCAAGTAGGGAATTCACAATACAGACAAAGTTCTTCTCCACAACCCCTCCTCTACTCCCTGAAAAAAGTTAAAGAAACTCCTAGCCGGAGAATGGGTCACGAAATTTTGCGAATGAACTCGTTACTGTTATGTAAATCAAGTGTATGGTGTGAATTGGTGTACATCATTAGGGTCTTTTTATGACTTAGGTGAGGAGCGGAATAGGATCCTTCTAAAGTGGTTGTTGGCATGAAGCTGGATTGTTTCACGTCAGATGGATTGCACGCGTTCGAACTCAAGTATGCGTGTGTGATTCGCGCACCTCGAGGCATCTTGTAGTTTACCCATTCGACAATCACAATGAGCATTAGGTATCACTGTTACCCTTTGTCCTTTCACACCAGACTCCAAACTAGGCCCGTGCTCAAGTCGAGGAACTAGCTGTACAAGCGCTTGTAGCTACCTTACGTCGCCTTGCCTTATGATTTCTTAGTTCCTTAACTTTTATCCAAACTGGCTATGAGGCGAGGAAGCCATTCGATATACGCGTCAGGTGTGCCAATTAAAAGACCTTTATCAGGCATTCATCAAGTAAACTTAAAACAAATGAGCGAACGGAATGTAGAACAACATAATGAGTACCACCACAAAAGGGAATTAGAAGCTTACCAAAACTTGAATCAATCACAGTCTAGCTTGCCGCACAGATGAAAATAGCCAATAAAATGAGGCGTTGGTGGAGAACCTCGGGACACAATGCCCCTACCCTTCGTGCCTAGATTGACCTCAAAAACCATCTTAAAATTGGTAATTTTAATCACATTAATTTAAAACATTGGCGTATCTGAACACAAGCATTGTAGATTTTAACCAATCGAATTGATGTTTGCATCACAAAGGAAAGCGCCAATAAAAACCTTTCGTGAACTTCGATCACAAAGGTGTTAGGACTTATTGTTGAAATTTCTAACCGTACTCACCAAATTGGAGATAAAGTAATGACAAGACGAAGTAGATTTCTTCATGAAAGACAAGTGCAAGTATTTCGAAATACCGTCGCTGTTGATGTGAATCAGTCTTAAATAGTCTGATATGCAGGCATAGTTGTCCATGATAAATAAACTTACAGTTTAGCAGAAGTGCATTTTTTGAAGTTTCATTACCTACAGGGGCAGACTATTTATCGAAGAAGTGGTTAGTTTGAAATGACAAACGGTTTATTGGATAAAGACGGTGGCGATTATGCCATGGCATTACTAGCATTCATGAGGTTCAGTCCATGCTACGCCGGCTATTCAAAATGACCCACAGCCCTCGTGAACCAATGCAAAGGAACAGTAAGAAGTTGTTAGGGATTTTCCGCCTCGATAACGAACATCGCAGTATCCACGACAACGTGTAAGTCCTATTCTTATTTCCACCGGTACTGAAAGGAGCTAAAGTAATGTACTTACATCATTGACTTAATACCAATAGACCAACTGAAACAATACGAGTTGTTAATCTGAGAACTTGACGTAATCTCGTATAAGAAACTCCGAACCTCTTTTATGCTCTTTGTAGTACAGTTCACGACGCTGTTTTGTTGTTGCGATCCCAGAATTACCACAGCCACGAATTGGATTTCAGTCCAAACCGAGTGAGTCTGTGGCCTTTAGCCATTAACACTTGCGCAACCCTTCATTTATTACCGAACGTCCAATCAAATCAACATTAGCGTCTTCCAAAGTCAATTCTACCTCTTTCTAGCTAATCAAGTATTCAGTTAAAAAGTAGCACAAATACTACTGATAATCATGTTTGCCTGAAAATCGCAAATTACCCTAACCACATACAGCGCTATCATTTATCTGTTAATGACGGTGCGGTGGGTGATGGAGTCAAAGTTACTATTTGGGACTGGTCATGTGACTTTCCTTTGCATAAATCTGCTTGGACGGTTAAAATATGCCCTAGGCGATAGGTCAATGCGAATGCTCACCTGGTTAGTAAGTGGTTCACGTGTTTTGGCAGTTCTAGAAGGCCACAAGTAATTGTGAACTAAGCTGCTTAGCCCAGAAAACACCAGGAAGTTTGAATGAAACCTCCGCTTAAATATCATCTTTACAATGGTACTCAGTGCAGACGTCGATACGCGTCGCCTTGTCCGCTTGCATGGTAGACTGTTAGAACCAGGAATCTCTCGATGTTAAAGATTTAAGAAGCATTTTTAAGGACATAACTCACACTAGGTTATTTCGAACGGTGGAACGAAGACATTTTCTGGTAGCACATCGACCACTCCCCCATCTTAAAGCGCTCATAGGCGGCGTAACCAAGCTGTAACTGAAGCCTAAATGCCACGAGTGGAACAAACGTTTGGTGTCACTGAACGATATCGCAGAGGTAGTGTAAAAAATGGTTTACGTTTTGTTCACGTGACGCAAGATTGCGTCGCAAAATTATGCTTCATTTATTTTTAATTTACAATTCTAATTAGGAATCGGATGAATCTGGACCACTTTGCATTTTCACGTTGTGGCTTTCGGGATACAATTGCACAAAGTTTCAGGAAATGACAAGAAAAATTGTGTAATTAATAATGTGCAATGTTAAAAGCCCCAAAAACACTTAAGGGCGGCTTCTCAAGGCCTGACATCAAGTAGGGACACAGTCCCATTGTTAGCTTCAGCGAGGAAAGCCAAGTTGAAAACGTTTGAAGATGGCTAGTCCAGCAATAGATAATAATGACAGGGCGGTTTGTGACAACTTCACAAACGGAAATGCAACTGAAATCGTACCAAGCATTTTATCATCAATTCGAGGACATTAATTACCATCAGAAAACTGCAACGACATGCCTTCACGTCTCAACCCGTAGCAGATTCCACGCACAACGGATGGGCACTTGGCTTCTGCCTGGATTTGCCTCAACCAGGAGTCCCGTAGTCGGTCAGTATTGGAGGGGATTAAAAATTTTCAAATTTCTTTCAAAACAGGGGAGAAATGTGCCTTTTCAGGCTCGTCGTTTTTACTATACCCATTAGAGCCTAAATCCTGCCTCTGATTATGCTCAACACGGTTACAGGTATTCAGTAGAATGGTACACAAGGTGCATCATCTTATAACAAAACGCCTCATTTCATCTATCTTCAATAGTTAAGAAGACTTTAATAGCAGATTTCAGCATTTCATTCAAAAGCCAGTGAGAAAGTCGCCTTCCCCTCTCATGCTGCTTGCTACCAATAAGTAAGCTGTGCGTTAGACGAGGCTAACGGGTTAACCCTTCCTTCTAGAGATTACAAATCATAAAACTGTCAGTAAACTTCAGAATAAGGGATCTACCAAGACCACCCCCCTACCAAAACAGGCAGCACTGAGCCCATCATTCGTGTTGAACCGCTGTAAACGGGGGCGCACGGATACCCCATGGTGTCTGTCTCTAGGTTGCAACGATTTCCTTCAAACTCCCAACTTGCATGACACCTACGTGATGTTTGGCATTTTTTGGTAAAGACAAGGTAAGTACAACACCGCACAACAACATTGCTGCTGGTTTTGTGCAGGCGTGTGCGTAAGAAACGGTGATTCGTTAACGCTTGCTTGCACAAAAAGCTCAGTACATTTCGTTTTGTACATACATGTCCGAATTAATTTTGCGCCATATTTACAAGTTGATCCATATCATCTTGTTTTGGTTCCTTTCTACTTTCCAGATTAGTTTGCTCAACTTTTCAAATTAACTTTGCCACCCATTGATACCCTTCTGCAACTTACCGAAGTCCTTTTGTTCGTCCGCACTAATTCTCGTGTCTGTATCTACTACTGCTCACGCCATCCCCCCCCGTTGTGCATTTGCCTGTTCAACCAAGTACGGCTAGTTAAATTTTTTTTTATTTCGTAAGAATATGACCTGCTTCCACCTTCCCATATCGTAGGACATTTCTGTGTCATTGTTTGTGAGAGAGAAAGATTGGTGAGCTAAGTAAATCCCAACTACAACTTACAATTGCCGATTTAATTGTGATAAAGTTAAATGCTGAGTGATTAGTGCCTGCCTGGTCTCAAAGCGAGCAAATTGTGATAAATTAGAGTGCACCGTTATCTGTCTGTTAATAAAAACCAGCGTTCAGAAAACAGTTTTGTGTGGTTAAAGATGAATAAACGCAGTACGAAAGCACCTCAATCTTGCACTCCTTTGTATTTGTTAAATTTAGAGATCTAGTCGAGTTATTAAGGGGGTGGGAAAGTAGAAATGATGGGATAATAAATCTTCTGGTGACTTTGAGACCAAATCGGAACATTTCCCAAAAGCCGACATAATTGTCCTCGTGACTTGCTCCTGTTCCATCCACAAATCAAAGGCCGTATACTTGCACAAGTCGATCTTGAGGGGTGCAAATTGGTTCTTTTCATACCGTAATGTCGATTCACCAGAATATTCTTTTCCGTGAAACCCGTTTAGGCTTCAGGCTAGATCCGCAACAAGAATGGAAGTAGTCTTACTCGCCCATGCTCACCACCGTTGCCACGGTAGCACTCCAAACTCGCTTCCATAACGAGCGCTAAACCGTACACAAGCGTGGCAGGCTATCAATGTATCCAGAATCCCCTGTGAAAATCCCACACTGCCAGAACGGAGCTTAAGTGGATTCAGCCTTATGTGCTCTCACTGAGCATGGACTAAAGCTTACCATTGTGTGTCACAATACCATGCATTTTGCTCATTGAAACTAGTGTGCCATAAACACAAACTTGGTACAAAACAACCACAGTCAGGTATGCGGTGAATGTGAGTTCGCAACTCCGCAATGGCGCGACCGTTGTTTAGTATTTCCGCTGAATAATAAATGGGACCTAAGATAAGGGGTATGGCATAGCCCCCTAAAGCTCAGGCGGCGTTGACGCAAGCACACATAAGCACGGACCGACGTGTCAAAGCATATACGTTGTGGCGCGTTAGCGCGCACAACCACATACAAGCCAGGGAGGGCACGAGCCCATCGATCGATAAAGCCTGTCTGCCACACTTTCATAGGCCTAGCTCTACGCGTGCTGCTTGTCCACGCGCTGCGTTGATTGGCACAGGCGCAAACGAAGGAAACTAATTGGCTAGCAGCTGAATCGGCCTTCGCGCATGATTAGCGACCGCACGCGCATGCAAAATGCGCTGGGGCTACGCGGCACTAAGAGGCTGTTTGCTCACGCCTGAAGTGTTCATCCTTATAGAGCCAGGCGTTGGTTCTTAAATTTAATTTAAAAAAAAATTGTGATGGAGGCGATCCCAGGAAGTTCTCTCCCCACCTCAACTGAAGAACTCAGTTCTGAGGAGTTGGCTCTACAAAATGAAATCACTTCGTTAAAGGCTCAATTGGAGGCTGCAAGAAAGGAAGTCGCTGACACGGACTTTTATACAATGACAAAGGATGTTGTTGAATTGGGACGGTTAAAATTTAAATTCCGCAAAACCCTTCGAGGCCACATGGCAAAAGTTGCTTCAGTTAGATGGGCTTCTGATAGCCAACTAATTTTATCAGCAGGCCAAGATGGAAAACTCATTGTTTGGGACGGATATACCGCAAATAAAGTTCGCATGATTTCCCTGAAAACTGCTTGGGTTCTTGGCTGTGCTATGTCACCCAGCATGCAGCAGGTTGTCAGCGGTGGTTTGGATAACCTCATAACTGTTTTCAGTCTGAGCTCTCCCGAGGGTACGCCTGCACAACTAGTTCAGGAACTCTCTGGACACAGTGGATATATTTCCAGCTTGGATTACATCGATGAAATCAAGCTGCTTAGTGCGTCGGGCGACAAAACTCTTAAATTGTGGGACATGGAAAAGGGGGAGCTGGTCTCGTCTTTCTCCGGCCACACAAATGATGTGAATTGTGTCCGAGTCAGTTGCACAAACAAGAATCTTGCGGTGTCTGTTTCGTCTGATTACACATGTCGTACTTGGGACCTTAGGTCTGCCAAATGTGCCCAATTATTCGAGGGCCATGAACAAGATGTGAACGGGGTGGATATATTCCCCAATGGTCAGGCCTTTGCGACGTCGTCAGACGACACCTCGTGCCGCTTGTGGGACATTCGATCCGACCAGGCGATAGCTGCCTACGTTGATGAATTAATTCAGTGTGGTAGCACCTGTGTGGCCCTCTCTCGCTCAGGTCGTGTTTTGATAGCGGGTTATGAGGACTTCAACTGTCATGTCTGGGATGTGCTCAGGGAAGAGCGAGTCGGTATAATGTCTGATCACGATGCTCGTGTCTCCTCTATCGCCATCAATGGGGTCGGAAATGCAATTGTCACCGGTTCCTGGGATTCTTTGTGCTACGTTTGGACAGCTAAATGAATGCTGCTGATAGAGTGACTATTTTCCCGCCCTCTAGTCTGATTCTGTATCCACAATGCGGGTGTTGGAAATCCGGCCACCCCGCTCTCACAACCACTCCCCCTCATCTCCTCCTTTTGCAATTTATGAAAGCTCGGTTCCCCCCCCCCCACGATTTTGTCCCTTCCCCTACATAATGCCAAAGTGTTGCATGGATAAACAGCGCCGGGGCTGCTTCAAAACCTCATCCCTTTACTTGCTCTCTTGGCGAAGATCGTCACCTCTCACTTAATTCCTTATAATATTACTCTCTAGTCCATATTACCTCTATGCGTAAGCCCTTACTTCTTGCCTTTTGCATTAATTCTGGAGCCTGCATTGTATATTGTGTCAAAGCATAGTTTATTACAATTTTTGCCAATGCGAATATTCTGTTTGGTGTATTACAGAAGGATGAACAATGCGAATTCGTGGCCAAGTTTAAATACTTTTTACAAATCCTTTACTTTATGTCGTCGAACGCTAATGTTATAGAAGTTGGACAGGTCGCCGGACACATCAGTTGTAGTTTCCGTTTTGAAAAAATTAAGGCTGTTTTGTCTTAATAATGCCGCATTGCACGTCATGTTACAAAATCAAAATTGGATAGCCTAGTTTTTCCCTTCTGTTGAACGCGCTTCGTCCATCTTAATGCGCAGTACAAAGTCCAGATGTGATGTACTCCACTTTTGGAATTATGTTGACTTGACTGTTCAGCCGTTTTGGTAATTCTAGCAATAATACTGATAGTAGTTCGAATCTCAAGCACTTTTCACTATCGAAAGTGAAAAAAATAGGACAGACCAATCACTTTTTTACAATGACAGGAATCAAATGTCTTCTAGGAGCTTGGTGTCTTCCTAAAATCATTAATTCTCATGCACATTCCTCCAAGCCACGTTTATAAATCTTATTCCTACAACATGAATTATAATTGGGAGGTACTTTATCAATTCTCAAAGCTTCATCTTCGTTTCCTTCATTTATGCAAGAACTTTCTTGATTGTCATCACGAAAACAGCCTATAATTAAATCTTCCCACATAATTTTTTCCAGTAGTACCGAACTCCCCATAATTGAAACCACAGTTTTTTCTCCAACAAGGGCTTGTGCCAGTCAGCTTGTGTGACGAAGCTTTTTCTATGATCTTCAACCCACGCTTCTGAGGGACAAGCAGTAACACTTGTAAATCTTGATTTTAACTAAGTACAAATTGACAAATAATGCCTTCTTTGTTGGTATTTGCCACTTCTTCTCAGCCGGCAACTCGTTTTTGACGTCTCTGCAACATAATCTGCGTTTTAACCCTAAAATTCATCTGACATCCTTTCCGATTCCACGTCACCAGTGGACAAAACCTCGCCCGAATTTTTAGATGGTGATGGAGAAGATAGAAATCCAACGGAGAAATAGGTGAGAAATACCGAGGAAGCGACAGGACGACTTAATCGATAGTTTGGATGATAGCTTTTGTCCAATTGCCAGTTGATTCAATTATGAACCGCGATGAGTCATTTACGTCCCGATTTCATGACAGGCTGGAATTCAGGCACTGATACGATGTCATTAATAATAATAATAATAACAACTTAAATAAGCAGTAATTTTGTAACTGTTGAGAGTAGCTTGTCAGTGCAAAAGTATCTTTATAAGTGTTTCAGATCAATTGACGAATCTTGTTTGAAACATCTGGCTCTGTCGCCTTCTTGTAAATGCCGGTTTAAACCTAAAGTGAGTGAAAAGGCTTACTGCAAAGATATTTTGCCTCTGTGTTTGCTTTAAATTACCTTTTACTCCAACAATTCATTGATGCTGCGAATATCGAAAAAACCCCGAAAATTTTTGCTCAAGAAAGCGATCCCATGCTCTCCTTTTGTGGTATTTATGCTTTCTAGAAGCTGTTAACTGATTCATGTTTCTGTCCCCGTCGATATCTCAGTACGGTGGGCTTCACGTATCCTAGCATATTCCACAACAGGAAAATCGATGTTTTCAAACTGTATTCCGAATTCATTTGCACGCGATGCTTACAAGTTTAGAATATTACCCTGGAGACGGACATTTTTATTGTAACTCCCTTTTGCCCGCTAACATCGACTTTCAAATTTTAATTCAGTTTGAGGTAAAATGCACGAGGAACGGAGCGAAACGTGCGTAGCTATCAGAATGCATTTATACCAATAACATCTTTAGACTACTAAGTCAGAATCTCAGAATGATGCGATTTCGTCGGCGTAATTAATTCAAGTAGAAAAGCCACTCAACGTATGCAGATTTCCCCAAGGACGCTTTGTCCTGATCACTCCCTGTAGTAATGCCCTGAGCGTGTAGCAACTCGAGAGGTGTTTTCAATTATCGACGGCATAAAAGAGGGGACACTTGAACGCACAAAGCCAAATCAAAGTACTGAAACAGCATATTTCGATTCAGCTTTCTTAAAACTCTCTGTAGGGAAAGGGCAGCTTCTTTCTTATGTTTACTTAATCCCTAATGTAGCAGTAAGAGCCGCTACGACATCATCAGCTGTAAACACTTTGGGCGTAATTTCTACCATTCATCTGCGTTTCAAACTATGCCCTGCCAATATCAAGGAATCTACTTAGCTTGAGCTTAATAACTACAAAATACAATGCTCTCATATTAGTTGCTACTGAAAACTGCTTGGAAGGGACTATGTTCACTGCAGTGCATAAAAATCCGAATCGATTGGAAACGCAGCCCCAAGCTTGGGAAGTTGAATTTATCAAGGCCAACCGACGTCGTCTCGTTTGGCCATTGAATTCTACTAATTATCCGGCTACTGACCCCTCCACAACTAACTATGCGGTTATTCCCAAGTGCATGAATCGTGTTTAGTCTGCCAATCCACACATTCTGACATTTCTAGTACAGGACTCTTAAGCTAGGAGCAGGTTTCACGCTAGGATTGTGTGATTACAATTTTCAGATGTCATAATATTGCCGTTTTCATTCGGAAGTGAGTGTACAATATCGATTTTTGATGTGTCATGATAAGCTGTCATTTGCATTGAAGGCAATTGATATTTTCCTGTAAAACGTGCTCCTCCAAGCATCTGTAGTTGCGGTCGATCAGCTTTAAGTGCGAAATGGAAAGTAGCAGTGTCATTGGAGGTGTACGAGTACACTTGGCCAGGCGCGTTAACTTAAAGCCGATTGGCGTATGCGACCCATCCTAGCATTTATTGGTCTCTGCAACCCCTATAAACGCCCACGCGCAAAATTACAACCTGCCTAACGTAGCGGGCGTTTCCACCTCGTACTGTCGCCCTTGTCAATAGGTTCTTTGGGAGTCAGCGGGTAATAGAAACAGCGTAGCAACTCAATCGATTTCAGGGACCCACTAGCGTAGAATACAAGTGCAAATTTTGCTACTCCAAATATTGGCAGTTCCACCACTTTAATGCCGGGCTGACTTCCCCTTCAGACTTTTCACAATGACCACTCCAAGACATGTGCAGAGCTGGTGTGATTTTTTGTGCCTAAATCAGTGAAACAAGGATTATTACCCAACTTTTCCCATACTAAATAGCCCAAAACCCGCGGTGCGTGTTCCGAAGGGAGGTTAGTCTTTCCACATAACGACGCACATACAGCACATTCCTGTTCGGTTTAGTAAAAAGTAGACTTTTCCTCTTCAATGCTGGTTGATAAAATTTTGCATAAAGAAAAGATAACTGCATCTAGAAGTGTTCAGGTGATGTAATAGCCAAAGCAGGTAACTTGTAAGAGCCTTTGGGAGTACTTCGATAACTATCATTAGACCATGTAAAATCGACATTACATTAACGTAGCTCGGGGCTTTCATTCACTGTGAAGGTCTCGGTAACAAGTCGGCAAAAGCCATACACGTAGCACTGAAAACCACTGAGCGCCCAATGCATACGAAACAAGAATTCGCATGTGGTTAAAATATGAGCTTTTATGTAAATCTGTACAAATTACGTGAATACACGGAACACTCAATGTCCTTCTAACCCCAAACCGCCGATATCCAGTTCTTCGTCATTATATATGTTCTCGGCCTAAAAATAAAATGCAACATGATTTTAAGCTTTTGGCATTAGTATTACTGCGACGCTCTGGAGAGCAAGAATGACATTATATTTTTATACAGCCTGGTTTTCCGTTCTACAAATTCGATCACATGGAAAATAAGACATCAAGATGGACTAATGGCTTATAAATACTCAATCGAGGTCAAATTGATCATTAGAACGAAAGGCGGGATTTTAGAAGGATTTCAACGTTAAATAACAGTATGCACAAGGGCAGTGAGGAGTGATGCTAAACCCTGCAGATAAGAGAGCAACTTCTGATATCTCTTCAGAAGAGGAGACTCACCATTTGCCATATTTGCAGAATGTTGTCTTCTGATACAGAACAAATGACCCAGGGTTCGTTGATGTTCCAAGTAAAATCCGAGATCTTGGCCGTATGACCGGCATGAATAAAAAGCAACTCAGGTGGCCCGTCTTCTGCATCCTCACTGGTTTGGTCGACGCCAATCTTGCTGAGATCCCAGATGTGGAGCCGACGATCCGTGCCCGAGGAGGCAAGAATTGTTTCGTTGTGAGGTGACCATTGGACCTGCGAAAACAAATTTTTGAGGTAAATGAAAGAATGCAATGTCGTAGTTCCACTATACCGTCGTTAATCATGCATACGGAGGATCTCGGCAATGAACTTCGTCTACTCCATGGTGGCAACGAGCTGTAACACACTGGTACGTTGTTAAGGGGAATTCTATATTAGAGGCTTGTCAAACAGGCATTCAAGGCTAAAACAGCCAAGTTTGGGGTGATGTTGTTTACGGAAATTAAGAAGTCCATGATAAAGGTCTACATCATACGATGATTTTTGATACTATAAGAATCATAAGCGTGGTTAGCCTCAGGATACACGAAGTGCCGGGTAAAAATTTAAAATCCCAACGGCATAAACCTATGGCAAGGCAAACTTGGCTTCATATTCGATTCATGTCGAAAATGGTACTAAAGGTAAAAGAAACAGTTCGACATAGCTATTAAGAGGTACCATATCCGAGCAAAAATCACAATATGGGTATGGTTGCTAAGGGTTACCAAAATGTTGGCAAAATAACTTGGCTATTGTCAAATCTGTTCCAATTAAGATACAAATGGCATATCATGTGCTGGAAAGATGGCTATGTAGAATCTGAAAAATGAATGTAATGGAAAATTAAGTCACATACGTATATTGCTGTGTTTAGGTGTGCAAGTAGAAATCTGTCACAGAAAAAACTGTGGGGCAATTAAGAAATAATAAAAATAACACGACGATACAGTATTCATGCGACTGGCTTACTTATGACAAATGATCCATTCGAGGTAATCCGAAAAGACAATACACAAACTTACTTGGAAGATTTCATCTCGATGTGATTCAAACGAATGTAGTTTTAGACGTAGATTTCGCAAGTCCCACAGAGCCACAGTCTAGAATGGCAGAAGAAGATAGGTTTTACAGAATTATAGATTTGTTGACGAAGAAAAGTACAGGAGTCAGTTTAACCCAAACCCATTTCAAATTATATATATAGAACGTTACTGCAAATCGGCTTTTACACCGACTCCACAGTACACATGGAATATTCTAGCTTTGTCAAAGAATAATGTAATTATGGTTAAAAGCAAACCTTATCGGCACTGCCGGTGGCAAGAATGAATTCCGAAAACGGGTTAAAAGCGAGACAATTAACTTCGGCAGTGTGCGCATCGACTTGGTGTTGGGCCTTGCTCCTAGAAGAACTTCGAGTATCCCAAATCATCAATTTATTGTCATCAGCGACGGAGCCAAAAACGTGACCATGTATGAGATGCCAGGCTACATCTTCGACGACTGAATGGTGACCAGTAAAGACGGCCATGGCGTCAAGACATCGTCCATCTAAGGGAGAACCTGAGATATCCCACAAACAGATTGTCTGATCATCGGACGCGGAAAGCAAATGCCCACTGTGAGTTGCATTCCACGATAGGCCATAGCCCTCCTTTTCGTGACCCTGTGAGAAGAAAAACAAATTGTTGTCAAAATAAAAACAACATATGCCATATCACAGAAATGTTTCATACCTTTAACCGGAGATCTGGTTGGCAACCACGCTCAGGTGGAGCCCGAACAGGATGATTTGCGTAATCAAACACAAGAACATCACCACTGGGAGTCTTAGTGGCTATAATATCGGGGTTCTGTGGCATATACCGAGCGCGATTAACTTCTCCTTCGTGATTGATCTTCATGGTAACTTCCAACTTTCCGGATGGGAAGTAAAACCCCCCAAAGTTTCCCTTCTCACTCTCGTACGTGCTTGCATCAAATTCAGCATTATCATTTGGTAGATGCACGGTAGCAATTAACAAATGGTTCTGCTCATCTGATGTATGAGTGCCAAGGATTAGCCGATGTATGGAGTAATCCTCATCGGTCCTATTATAAAATGGCTTTTAATTACAAATTAGATATCTGCATACGTCTCGACGAGAGGCAGCCACTGAGCAGACAAGCTTGGCCATTCAAGAGCATGAGACATCAACATATCGTAAAGGAAGGGAGTATTTCGTTTCCATATTTTATACTCCTCATTAATTACGCGTTCTTCAATTACGTCCTCAGATTCGGCGACATGCATATGTTGCTACAAAATCATTGAAAACAGTACTACAAACCATCATTGCGAAAAAATTTAAACCGAATTTTTAAACTTTTGTGTAACTCGGTAACTCATTCAAACACAAGTGTCAAGAGTGAATAATAAAGTCATTTATAAATATACAAATTTTCATCATGAATTAAAGAGTAGCTATTTTAAAAGCGGGTCACATGTATAATTAGGTGCAGATTTGTTCCCGCCACGTTAGTTTTTACGTAAGCAGAATGCAAATTTAGGTGTCCCATACGGGATCTCTCCGATCTCCCTTTTCCATCAACGTTGTAATATCTTCTCTGATGTCAATATGGTTCATTACGTATTTTTTTCAATTAAATCCTCTTTAAAATGCGCATGGATATAAAATCAAAAGTAAACATTCCAATTAAACGAAAATTTATGGTGGGCATAATTTTGCTGCAAAATATTGTTACATTGAGGACATCCTGGGAGCCAAAATTACAAACAGGATAAAAAGCCGATATTCAATGCTACTAAGCGAAACGAACTATAACGATTCACCTATTTATACCACTTAATAGCTTGCTTGATCTTTCATGAAAATTTAAATGTGCAGTTTTGCGATGCCATTGCATGTTTAAGTTAGAAACGAAGCCTTGATATACCTTAAAATTGCAGTTTTTTATATATTAAATCAAAATGACTTCAACGAACTCTCCCAATCGAATGTGCGAAGTTTGGCTCTGCAACCTTTGTTTGACAAAACAATCGGCTCTTTTATTAATATCATTTTAGTTTATAATCGTCGAGAATATTTTGCATGTAATGGGAGTAGAAAGCGTTTCATGTGTATGTCGAAGCCCACTAATACTGACGACTATACCAAAACCTGACCAGTAAAGAAGTGACCTTCGAAAACGCGTAGTTCAAGTGATTTAATGATACGATAGTACCATGATTGGTGCTTTTGTTGCATATCCTAATTAGTCCCGGTCAGTATTTTCTCTTAAATGTTGGTGACTCGCTGTCCTTTTTGACAAACTAATGAGAAATTACGATTGATCCACAGTTAGCTGTTTTAGTCCTTCTATGTACTATCATATAGATTTCATGCTGCCAGTCAATCCGAATATGCCTTATAAAGAGTTTTAAAGGAGGTTTGCTGTCTTTATCTTTTCACAGCTACCTCCTCCCTGGAAGTTCCAATGCAGACGGGTCATTCGATTATAATTGGTTTGGTTTTATCGGACATCTATTGGCTCTCTATAGTTTTTATCCCAGATTCTAGCATGGTTATGCCCATACAAAGTTCTGTTGTTCGCGCTTTTACGCGGTTGTGCTTCCTGTGAGTTTTTGACAAAGTTGTATTCTTGAAATCATAATCCCCACTTTAGCGCTGCCTGGTCACTATCGGGGTCTGTTAATAGATGAAATAGGTATTCAATTACATGTAGAATTCAAGTCTTTTTAATTCTATGTGGGCTAGATAACTTGCCTGGGCTCGAGTAGTTACATGTTTAAAGAGAATTGTGTCCAGTCTAAGTTTACCATGTCTGCCTCGTGTTCGTAAGCGATTCGGTAATTTATAATAAAATTGCAGCTGAGCAAAATCATTCAGATATCCATTCTTATGCTTATTGGTTGTGCATAAAATAATAACTAATTTTGATTGTTTATGCACCAGTTCTGCTGTTTTTAGCACACACAAGAAGACGTAAATTGTCTACGACGTGATGCGATTTTTCAAGAACCCTTATATTGGGCCAGGTGGCGAGGTCGCGAAAAAGACGACTCTTCCTTCGGCCCACGATTTTGCTGAAAAGGCCTTAGAGATGGTCAAGCATTGTTTTGAGGCAAGTTTATTCGTGTCCGGGATTGCAAAAGCCCCTTGACTATATGCTATGTGGTGTGTGAATTGCATTTTGCACCGATTGTTTTCAAAGCCAGTAAAAATCGTTTTTAGCATAATCGTCTACAGAATGAAGTCCGCAAATTTCTAATGCCGCTTTTATTACACGGAGTGTAATGCTTCTGGTTTACGACACAAGTAATTTTACTCCAATCTTCCAGATGCATCTTAGAATGCATTCATGACGTATGTGAAGTCTAGTTTTTGTCTGTTTTACAATTCTGATTTTTTAATGATTTTCTTTAGAGACCGACTCAGATGCCTTTACTCAGGTCCTTTCTCTGTGCATATTATTTTCTCTAGTCTCCAAACTGTATCCAATAATCCAGTCGAATTTTTCATGTGTTTGTCAGTAAAGTTGTGACACTTGCGGATCCATGTTAGAAACCCGTACTTTCACTCTTTCGTAGTGCGTAACAAGTCTTCCTGCCAGGTAGTTCTGACCTTTCCAGATCGTTTCCTTCATCCCATGCAAGTGAAGTTAGGACTCAATGAAGTTTGTAATTTGATCCGGTGGCATTCTCTCTCGATGCACATTGTCCTCCCAGTGCTAGACAGTGGACGACGTCCATAAGCTTGGGTGTAACTGAGCCCTTACAATCTGTACCAATTCGTCTTCCCTTGGTGATGACCTTTTCCGACCGACGTTCCAACACAGGGCCTGGAAAGTACCCATGTAAACGGCGGCATATCGTCCAGCGTGAGACACGTCTGTAATACCACATGCTCGCTCTGGTCTTCCTTGATCGTTTACTGCATCGCGAGCCACTAACACTGAAAGCTTCGCTCGGGATTTCTTTGTGAAGTTATTTCGGGTTCCTTCATTTCGAGTGTTGAAGAGATCAATCCGACAAAAGCTTTTTGTGCATGCTTTAAATGGAAAGATTAGATGTGCTCATTGAGTCGATAATTTTCCAGTGCAGTAATGTGCCACATCCTCTTTAAAAAATGACAGTAGATTATTTTGTACCCGAATGACTTTCCACGTGTGTAGAAAGCCACGAGGAGGATGACTTTACTTTAAAAATTTTCTTATTCAGGTGTCTACGGGGGTCGTTTTTTAACCCAAGAATGTTCGGCAATAGTTTCCCTTGGTCCTCTGATGGGAATCTGGGAAACTATTCAACAAAGGTCTTTGACTGTTTTATCCCATAGTTTTTTTTGTTAGGGAGTAATAGGACAAAAAATTGCAGGAATTCATCCAGGTTTATTATGCGCAATTCCATTTTGTTGCAGGGTGCATGTCGAAAAGTATCAATTCACGACGGAGGTCTGTACGTCGGTGGCGTCGGTGTGTCATGGGCGGCTATTCGCGTGATTAAACGAATCGGTGCCGGCTCAGAGCTGATCCCACAAATTCGCGGTTTTATGGAGAAACTAGTGAATCGGGCAGCGCAGGATGCTCCGCGCGATAAAAGCGAGAGCCTCTCCTTTCTTCTTGGCAGGCCCGGCATCTGGCTCACCGCGGCCTCTCTCTATCAGGTGCGTCAGGTTTCAACCCTATTAAATAATGTGTACTGAAAAGGTAGAAGTAATTGGTACGTTGTGCTTTACAGTTTTCTGGGGAGATTCCTGAAAGGGATCGGTTTTTGGGGCTTTACTGTCAACTTGCCCCGCACTTTGCCTCGTTGAAACCCGGAGGATGCGAAATCATCTTCCCACAAGGTTCAGACGAACTCTTCATCGGTCGTGCAGGCTACCTATGCGGCTTGTACGAGCTTCGGCGGCAGACGTCAGAGGCAAGTTGTTCTCCACCTCCCCACCGCCTTTTCCTTCACCCGCCGTCGTTCCGTAATGATTGTTACCCTGCACTTTTTTTCTCCTTTTAACTTGGCTCTCCAGTTGTCGGCAAAATTGTTTGTGTGGAATAGATGTCAAAGTCGCTACGCTAAATTCACATCTGCACCTCATTTTTGGCCATTACTAGCATTCATTCAGCAATACGACATGTTATGAAAGTCAGATTTTCGCCCAAAACATTTTTTTTTGATGAAACACTCACCTAAGGCCATTTAAACCACTTTCACAGGGGTAATACTTTTTCATGGTGTCGACAATTTGGTGCTTGAGCGGATGTGGCATCTGCGTGCAGACGTCTTCCTCGTCTTTTTCATAGAAATTTGACAAAAAAGAACTCCTCATGAAGAAAATAATTCGCGTGGTATTGCCCCTTAACTGATGAACAGTTCTAAATTGTGACATTTGGCTCTACAAAGTCGTTGGTTTAATGGATAGTGTATCGAGATCTGTAAAGCTGAACACAACCTTTGGGGGCTTGAATGTGCCACAGCATCGTGCGAGCATTTCATCCTACCTGTATTCAACCTTGTAATTTGAGTCGATTGTATTTAAGAAGGCCTTATCAGTGGAGTCACGAAATTAAGTAGATTTGAACAGGCCTTCTTGCGACGGGGCACTTCCCCTCTCGCGATCCCCTTATTAAAGGCGTAGCCAGGCGCACACCGCCAGCACGTTGAGGTTAAGGTGCGGTGCCTTCGTTGCACTCCTCCTCCCTCCATTTTGTTATGCACCGGTGCTTTATTGAAAAGGGCATCCACCAGGGTATGTTTACAAAGGCGTTATTTTTTTACACAAAGTACGTTTGCATTCTAGGCTGTCGTATCTGACGAGACGATTTTCGCAATCTGCGATGCCATCATCAGTTCTGGTCAGGCCTACGCACAGAAACACCGCTCCCAGTGTCCCCTGATGTTCGCCTACCACGGGACCGAGTACCTGGGTGAGGTTTGGCCTGCTGAATCCCACCTTCACCAGCCCCTCCTCAGAAACACTCACTTAGACTCTGTGAGAAAAAAATTGGGCAGGGTAGTAGTGTAGTGGTTGAGATTGCTTGCTTGCCGTGCCTCCATGCCTTGTGGGGCCACATCAGTGTAGTAATTGTGAGTAGCATAGAACTGTAGGACCAATACATCAACAGCTGGGGCCTGTTCGCTTTGATTTTGCTCAAGACTAGCTTCACGTAAATCACACAAGGCGTTGGTCAGACATCACGGGAAATTCGAATTTTGTTGATGATCATTTAACAGTACCAACTCCCTTAAGCGCTGTGAATGTGGCACGATGCATCTGCCACATAAATATACTCGGTTCTCATCATGTTCCAAATGCATCAGCTGCCTCCTGTCCTAACGCACAGGGCACATGCGCTGTTATAAACCACGATAATAGTGCACGTTAGGTTGGAGCTCATTCAAGGCGGCTTTGTGGTCGCCTGCTTTACCCGACCTTAATGAAATACAATCGGCAGCAATTCGAACCAAGTGGCTCGGGACGAGAATTTGGGGTGCGGTGGCGTTTGCTGCAGGCGAATTCCCAGGAGGCCGTATCAAACCGGTCAGTTGTTTGAGCAAAGCGAATGCGCGCGCACACACTGATTTGTGTTCTCGGGTTTTCTTTAAAAGGCATCTAGACTTGGCATTTGGGTCAACTCGATTGTCAAGATTAGCAGTGCTCTTACGTGCTCCCCTGTGGCTGTAGTGCATGCACCCTCGAAGGTGCTTTAACAATTCACCTAGTGACCTCTTACTGAATGTTACTCACCTCGTATTCGTCTTCAAGCGTGAATTGAAAAATCTTGTTTTTTTAAATTCGAATCAGATTTTTGTTGAACATTTGTTTGGCTTAAATTGAGACGCTTAGGTGTTTGTGGTCTTTCAAAGTTAATTTTGGGCTATGGACATCGAAAATACTGCCCACTCTCCATTTGACCTCGGCCAAAATTAATGAGCAGCAAGTTAATTGAACAAACTCGTTTGTGTTAGATATAATATTTCTGTAATTCTGATTAAATCGAAGCGAAGCCATTATGGTTTGCAGATTTGGTTAATTCGTTGTGTGCCATTTTTCGCCCAAATCGTTGCACACCATACGGCATGCCTCTGTAAAAAGACATGGGGACTTTTTCCAAGTCTTCGTAGTCTTTTTACCACGCTAGGTTTAGACGTATTCTTAGTGCCCCTCGTCTTCCATATCTCGCGTGATCCCATGGCAAACAAATTCGTATCCCCCCGCCCTCGCCCCCAACTAATCGACACGCAAGCTCCCGAGGCGTTTCATCTGGACGCGCATGAATTGTCAATTTCAGGTGCCGCACACGGCCTCGCGGGCATTCTCTTTGCCCTAATGCTTTTCCCTCAATACCTGAATGCCCGTGCCTCGGCCAGGCGCTTGGTGAAGGAGGCCATCAACTACCTGGTGTCGGTGACCCCCACGAGCACGGGCAATCTCCCCGCGGCCACGGACGAGGTGGACGCGCGTCATGGTCGCTCCGCCCCATCCGATGAACTCGTGCACTGGTGCCATGGCGCCTCGGGTGAGCGTTGAGCTTGAGAATCCCTCCCTCCAAGGCTAAAATCACATGTCAAACTTGGTGGTTTCGAGTCTTGCATCTTCTGATCAGTTATTGTCCAAACTTGAGATTAAGTCCCGAATTTGCCTTAACTTCGAAGTTACAGTTAATCAGGCCTCTAAAAAAGCTTTTCATTATTAAATCAGACAATTGTAAGGCAATTTCGGTAAACGGTTGCCAAGCACATCGCAGTGCTCAAATTGCCTAATTGATCATTTCCGGCGGAATGTTCGGTCAGTGCCATAATGTCTAGTTGCGTTCGCTGCAATGTGCTTTTATCTGTCGACCGGGGCATGGTATCCAGCGTGGCCATTGTTTGCGCCTGACGGGGAAGCGTAAGAAAACGCAAAGACCACGCCTCTTGCTTTCACACGTGGGTGAGCGTAGGCAGTCAAACCTACCTGTTCTTCCTTTTTTTTAACTTGTCCTATTCAAACACACTTCGCGCCAGTCTTTTGAATGGTTGATGAAGCTGTGTAGCATTCGTGATCTAGCGCCAAAGCTGCGAATTTCCGACGTACGTGCACCTCGAGGCGATTGAAAACGGAGGTTTTTTTGTTTCCAAGGCCTGGCTTAGATAGCGCTAATGCTGCGGCTTTGTATCGCCAGCCTCCAATGACGGGATCTTGATGGATTTCGGACAAAAAGGGTGTTTTTCCAGGAGCTTAAGGAGATTAGTCGATCACCTAATACGGTTCTTTAACTTAAAAATCTGGTCAATTTCCTCTGGAATCGTTTGGGCATAATTCCACTTTATCCACATCTCAATCCTTCCATAGCATAAATCGACAGCAAAAATGGGTAGTAGAGACAGAAATATTTCAAAATTGATAAGGGTATTTCACTTCTGTCCTTCCCCTATTAATTCCTGACCGGAATTGGCAAACACCCTTCAAATTCATGGCGTAAACATTTGATGCTTGCAGACGCTGTTATGACCGATCGCCTACCGCTATCATGGTACTAACACTTGATGTGTATTCTATTCGTTGCACAACTGACTTTACGTCAATGGCCAGGCCCCTCTAGCATGTCTGTCCACTAAGTTCACAGAAATCTCCTGAATCAGTGCTCGACAGGCTGGTCTGGGACATCTTGACTGGGGTAATGTCAACGATGTGGCAGCTTTTTCAAGCTATTTCCCCCGGACTTTGTCCCCTCTGATTCGGCATAGCACCAACCACCCAGTCGTTATTTCGTGTCGTTAACAATTCACTTTCTTAGGCCGTTGTCGAAATCCGATTTTGCATACTGAGATACCAGAAAATTTGAACCTACGTGGTTGGGAAGGGTTGTGCAGGCACACGGAGACCTCGAACTCAGCGGTGATTGGAGGGACAGGGACGACGGGGGCAATCGCCCAAGTCCACTTCACGTGCAGTTTATGGTGGCCTTGCCCCACCTCCGTCGTCAGTCGGCATCCCTCTCTAGCTGTACGATACTTCCTCAAAAAACCAATCGTTTGATTCCCCTAGGCGCTGTTTACGCATACGCGAGGGCCTATGTTCTGTGGAAAGACGAGGTCTATCTGAGGGAGGCTGCTAGGTGTGCGGACGTTGCTTGGGGCGGAGGACTGCTCAAAAAAGGACCGGGTAAGTGTCATTACGCACACCCTGGTGGAATTTGACTCTCAGCTTACTTTTGCTCTTTTGTTTGTGCACGCACCACTGGCTTCTAGCAGGCTGGTTGTGTGTTTTCTTACATACAAATTACGTAACCTTTTATCTCGAGTGGATACATCATTAAGTGACTGGGAATCCGGGTATAATGCCCAGCCCATAATCCTCCCTACCAGTGACGCAGGAGCTAGCACTGGTAGGGTCGCTGTTTTCGTCTAGTTTGGTACTGCTGAAATTAATTGCGCCGCTGTTTGCGTCAACGACCCACTCAGTAAATAAGTCGCAGAATTCAGACGGTAAACACAAACCATTTCACATTAGGGCAGGGTTGGCGGTTGGCGACCGTCTAGCCTACCGAAAAAAACCATTGATTTAATATCTTTTTTTGTCGGTGACCTATGCACATTCTAAGGTATGCGCCTGCAAGTGAGCTTGTTACGCACTAGTCAATGACTCGTCTTGGAAATCCGACGCTACGCGTCTTGTCGCCGCATGTCTCACACCTTCAAAAACGTTTAATTTTGCTGCTTCTCTTGATGGTCTTGAAGTGGGTCGACGTCTACAGTAGACGTTGGTGAAATGTGTGCTGAATAAGAACAAGAGAGTGACTTTGAATTTCGAAGCAAAAATCCTTAAAACCGCAAATGAATGTTGAAGGGACGAAACCATGGTGACACAGTAGACGGGTATTTTACAGGGACACCATCGATGTGTAAAAACGTTTGGCCTGGATGTCAGGTGTACAATTGACTGTGCTGCCCCAAGGGATAGAGTAATGCTTCTAAAGCATAAATGGAAAGCCCTTGTGGAATGAAGAGAACGATGCAAAACAGCAGTTTGAAGGGTGAGAGGTCGCAGCCCGGTGACGCTTTGGGAGGCGAAGCGTTGTGGATTTTGGGCACAGCAGTAAACGACTCCCTTGTGCCTAAGATTTGGCCCAGCACATGCGTATCAGAACACACCATCTCCGTTGATGTGGGCGATTTTCCAAAATGCCTAACAGAAGGCGGCTTTGTGTGCTGGTTCCCTCCTGGCAGCTGTGCTCATTCACTTAAGGGGGCTTTCATAATTCATGTAGAGCTCTGTCGGGTTTTTTGAGCCGATCTATTTCTTCATGCCTGTCTGGGGTATTTGTGGGCTTTAGTTTAATCTGCATCTTGGGATCTCTTAATTTATGCAATCGTTATAACTGAATTCCTTGCTGCGTTAAGTCAATTAAACCTGCCTCCTAACTCAGTCGTTATGCTGAGCTAGCATTTAATTCGATGTGATTAATGCTGGCATTAACCAATGGCCCCGTAACATTATGACTGCAAGTGGCAGCATACCTGCCGCCAAAAGTGCACCGTTTGTTAGCTGCCAGCCTCCCTGCCCCGTAATCAGCACGGGAGTTTTGACCAGAACTCGCTTTAGTTTTTGGGTCCCAACATGATCGGGCATGAGTCAATTTTGTTCCAGTTAAAGCACCTGGCCAGCCGGAAGGTCCGTTCCATGTGGACAGAACAGGACAATGTTTTTTTTTAAATTTTTGTTACTGGTTCGTCCGGACTAATCGCTTTGGCTGTTAGTCTCAATTAATTCTTTTTGTATGTTCAACCTTCACGTGGACAAATGACTTCGTTTTTGGGGAACTATTCGCCACTTTCTAATAAATTACAAAGAACGGTTTTAAATCAAGACTTCCAACAAACCAGTACTGTCCACCAGAAATCAGATTACTAGCTGGCAAAATATCCCATCGATGTGCCTGTGTGTTTGATCACCTTGACGCAACGGGGCATTTATATCCCTCGTCACGCGGTGCATCTTGGAACTAAAGTAGGGAGGAGTGCCCAGTGTGTGTGTGCTTGTTTATGTAATATTTTGGTCCCTAAAAATAGCTCTTCCTCGTGTATTTATTTAGAACGCGGTTCCACGTTTGTCGTTCATTTCTTTTTAAGGTATATGCCACGGAGTCGCGGGGAGCGGTTACACCCAACTAGCCCTCTACCGCATCACGGGTGAGGAGCGTTACCTTGACCGGGCACGGGCCTGCGCCGCCTTCATGGATGAGGAGACGTTTCTTCGGGGTTCGCGCACTCCAGACAGCCCCCTTTCGCTTTTCGAGGGGCGCGCGGGAACAGCTGTGTTCCTCGCAGACCTCGCCAATCCCGCCGAGTCCGCCTTTCCCTTTATGGATGTCTTTGGTGTCTAAAATTGTTGTTCCTCCGTCATTTCAACTGCATTCATTGCTCCTGTTATTCCGTTACATCAATCATTCATTTCATTAATTTTTTTCCGTACCGTCTCGGCGGTGCATTCCGGGTGTGTGTTTAGAAGGGTTATTCTGCAGGCTATTGCAGTCATATGTTCCGGTGTCTACGGAATTTCGTCTGCTTAACTTTTTGCCTGGTTAATTCTAACACCGTTTTTAAAGTTACACAATCCGTGATCACCTTTTATTATCTTGCACGTGGTGAGTCTGCCTCAGCTGGAATATTTCACAGGAACTACTGATAAATTCCCCATGACCCCTTGTACTTTTAATTAGATTAACAAATTGCCTGCTGTCGCGTTCCTCTCACACATGCACACCCATCTCAATCGGGGTAGCCGTGCTAGTTCCAATTTACCCCATGGCAATGTGGCTTTTCTCATCACGCATTAGTCAACTTTACACGGCAGTGTCAGTCAAAGTATGGCTGTGCCGTGCATGTGATTTCGTCTCTTGCACAAGACTTTTTTCTATGAAGACGCCCCTTCCCCTAAGTAGTGGGAGAGACGCCGCGACAGATGCAGCTTTTTTGGGCTTCCCGGCCCCTTGTTTTTCTGTGATTATTTGGTATTTCAGTAATCCTAGTGACCTTTTCACCCAATCGAAAGAGCAGTGCCTAACCAGGCGATTTTAATAATGCTGTCCTGGCTTACTTTTCACCAGGCAGAACGGCCATGCTACTAGTGACAGTAGATTAACTTGTCAGAGCAATGTGTTCCCGGTAATGGTAGAGGCCGAAAACTCCTTGAAAGATACCCTCAGGCGAGGGGAGTTTAATCGATGTTAAGGACTGGTGGTTCTGTTTACCAAAAAAGCTTAAGCCGGAGTTCTCGCCTCGCTTCCACTCGGCACCAGTAGCTTATTTCAGTCAACTTCTTCAGTGTCTCGACACCCCAACATGTGTGTAACGTTTTCGCCGCGTGCCCCCTCTAATTTAACGCCCACCTTGTTATTTTTGGCGGTTGGGTGTTTCCAATCCACGATATCTACTAAATTGATTGCGGCTGGTGAACATTTTGTGCGTAAATTCACGCAATACTCACTTTGGGAAGGCATGCTCAAACTATTGCTGAGTCTGGCAATCAGTGGATTCCCTGTGATCTATTCATGACTCCAGTTGTAAATGATGCTTCTGGGCTCAAGGTTGCACTCTTTCCATGCACGTTTTTCTTTTAGTTTGTAGCCTTCATGTTGTTCATTGGGAGATTTGTTGGTAAAAAGCCCTAAACATGCATGTAGACGTTTCCACAACCAAATGCAATCAGATGCTGCAAAGTTAGACATTCATTGGCAATGGGCAAGTGGTACTATTAGGAAAGAGTTCAGGTTTATCATATTGTCTCGAATATCACCATAATTTCGGGATGTCTTCTCTGTTATTATTAGTCTTTGACGAATGAACACACCGATTTTGTGTTCTCGTTGCTGCCGTTAACGACGGCAGCTGACCCCAAGCAAGCTGCCAGGCTTCCTCGTATTCGTTACCCAAGTAATTAGTGGATTAATCGATCGTGCGGTTTGAGGCTGAGAAATTCGCCGGTCACAGTCGTCTGCAGGGGCTCTGACAAGGAGCGGGTCTTCAGCTAAAAAAGGCATCGAAATGAGCAGTTGCAACATTCCAGACACCCAGTGGACAACCCGTAGTGCCAGTGGCTTCGAAACCCAGAGCGGCCGAATCTGTTGCAGAGTATGGCCTCAAGCTCTCCACCTTCAATTTGGGCTTCCTACTTCGGCACCGACCTCATCAAAAGACCAGGCCTTGTTGATTCAAGTCAAAGCCCTCTTAGGTGACTGTCGAGCAGGTTGCGTCGAATACCTCAATCGGCGCTTTCCTTACGACCTCCCAAGTTGCCAATGGGTGTAAAATCGCGCGACGCCGTTTAAATCATAGGCACGCATCAGTTTTACCTTGGAGTAAATGAGAACGGGGAAGGCCCAGTTGCATCACACAATATCCTCCTCAAACAGAATCGGTGCAAATTAGTTGCTTTTGGGTTTTTCACAGCCTCTTCGGGGACATCTATTGGTACCGCGAGTTTTGCCCTGCAATGATGCTAAGTAAGCAGGTGAAAAATACCTTTGTTTAGTGGCATGCAGTGGGCTTTTCTGGTGACGTGGGTTTCATGACTGAGTCTGCCTGTCTGGCAATATGACAGGGCATTTCTCCAAACACAATGACACTTAACTCTGTTTCCACCGTCGATTCTGTGCGTGCCGTGGTGCGTTTATGTGCTGCCGCCTATTTCAGGGCCTTCTGCTAACGTCAAGGATAAGACGCAGTAAGTTGGCTTGTTTTGCCTGTGTAGAAAGTACAGTTGTACGACTGGATCACGGGCCACGTGAATGGCGTCAGTTGTGCTGTACTTCATAAACCTCGCTTGGTATCTTGAATGAAAGTGGGGTAATTCTGTGCGTAAATGTAAACAGTGGTGCCTGGACAGTGTGCCTGATTAACAATGCGGGCGAAGCCGCGTAATAAGTACTTCCACGTTGGAGGGTTTAATGGGCATTTTGCGAGCTCATTCGAGGCAATATAATGATCTGCAGTTTTTAATCTGGGGCTATTGCTAGGGTCGGCAATTTTAACTCAAGTGCCCAATGAAGCAAAACTGGGAATATTGAATGAAGGAGTCTAAGAGTAGATCTGTAGCGGATTAATTGCGGTCGCGCTTGAGTGAACCCTGGTTACCGACCTGACGGTGACAATGACTCATCCCCTTTTCATTGGTTACTGTATCAGATGCCTGTCATCCGTTCACTCATCCACACGCTAAGACGCACTTGGCTGGCGTGACGCCAATAAACGGTCGTGTCCTCGGTCGCCTCTTTTCCACTCTACGCGGGTCGTTTCGAGCTGCTAACCAGAGGGTTGTAAGGTAGTGCTAGCCCCCAGCCACTACAGATCGATCAGTGTCCATTTGGAAATGGTTTAAGGCTAACCCAAATTTCTGACATAGTCTAACTTCAATCGTGTAATTCTAATTGTAATCCTAATTTTCGATCCACTTGAATCAATGTTACCTGCTCAATTTCCACACATGCATTTTCCTGTTCTTAAATTTCTAGGGGGGTCAAACGCTTTTGTCGTGGCATTGATAGCAAGTGTTTGCAGTTAGGAGGTACACGTTGAAGTTATGACATACATGGAAACGTGTGCCAGAAGTGCTGCTGAATTTTCCATTCCGATCAAGAAGCACGCCTTCTTAGTTGGTTTACAATACCGATTGTGAAACAATATGTGGGTGGATTTGACCTTGGCTCTGCCCAGCAGAAAATTGTGAAGTAATACTGAAGCTCACTGCAATCGTACCATCGACCTTGGAGTACTTCCGGAACTATTAGAGCAGTGGTGTGGGTGCACTTTACCGAATCTGCGGGCGTCTACATTGTAAAAATAGAAACATTTGGTCGCTTTCGAAGTTGTAAAATCAACGGTTTGATGCTACGCTTTCGTGCATTTCTTAGACTTAGGAATGTTCGCAACAAAGTTTTTGATCGAGATTGACGACGACAATTGAGTAGACTGGATTGTGGTCATTTTCAAATTGCTAGCAAAGCGCCATTGCAATTTCGCGGGTACAAAGAAACGATTTGGAAGTATCAGAAGACACAATGTAGGGCTATCAATAAATACTAAGAAAAGAGATTGAAGCCTTTTGAAAATGTGGACTTGTAAATTCACCATCATTTAGCTGTGGCATTCCTATTTCCTTACGATGCCCCGGTTGTTTGCAGACTTTAATTGGGTTAACCAGCCGCATGGTGAGAATATTATAAGTTGAATTGTTGACAGAGGTGAAGACGTGCACAAATTTCACCTACATTTTGACCTCATTCGACGCTGTTAAGCTATCTGTTGTGCTCCGGAATAAGGCCGCAACAAAATTGCTTGGATAACAACCAGGGCTGCTGAATTTAGGAAGGTATGAATCACTCGAATTCGGCTCACAATCGTAGCCGTCGAAACAGGTGACCGTTTGAACTTCTTTTAGGTCCTTCTCAAGACCTCCACTGCCACGCTTGCTCTCACTGAGTCCTTTTCGCCACCATCATTCGTTTGAATCTATTTATAACGTCAGTTGCACTAAAAAAATTAGGGAGTAAGGGGTTTGGTCGAATTCTAACTACTTCTCCATTTTCTCTACAGCTATTTTTGAACCTTATTTCTCACCGTAGGACAAGGGAAAATTTGACTTGAAGCAAAATCTTATCGAAAAGGCAAAGGGGGCACGTTAGTTAGTTAAGCAGCATGCAACCTGACAAAAGATCTAGAAGTAAGCTTTGCCATTCCACGTCATTTTGACATGCACAAAAAATCATTAATCCAAACATTTATGCAATTGTTTAAATCCAAGTCATTTTTACGAGAATTGGCTCTTTCAGATTAATTTATTTTGAGTTACTATGGAATTAGACCACGTAGGCCTACGTGAGATCGTCAGTAGTATTTATTCAAATGTTGCTTACATGTAACAAGACCATTGCTATGTGAATGGGTTCTTCTAATTAACATTATGAAAAAGTGCGCATTCAAACTTCTTCACAGGTCATTCTACAAATTATAATGGCTACCTCGAGCTTTTTAAGTCAGAATCAAGCCGGCATTGTGTGCAATAAGTCGCCAACTAAAGAGGTGACGTTTCGACCAATCCCGAGTCAGCGAATGAATAAAATGGAACTTTTACAGAGATACGGCTACGATTTGAATGGATTAACCTAACTGCGGGACGGCTGCAGGCCATTATTTTCAGCTGAATAGGTAGACATGTCTTCAGCTCCACGGAATTGAGGTCAGATGTTGGGAGGGGGATCTCAGTGAATGCAGGGTATCCCGTGCTCAGTATTGAACTACTCTGGTTTGGCGCCAATCTCCCATTGACAGTGTACCACATTTGAGACCGTTTTTTGGAATCCAAGCCCACGAGTGCTCAGAGTCTGTC